TATATCTGTTTCAGATGCAAAAACCAAAAGAATCTGAATATCTGATACAAGAATCTGAGAGGGAGAGATGAGTCAACTTACCCGAGAAACGTCACCAAAATCTGCTGTAGACATCTAAAAGTTTGATACTTTTGAATGAAACTGATGAGGCAGATGAAAAAACTGGAGCTACTATATTGATCGTGGGATGATTTTCCAAGGAGGAGATTTTCGGGTGAAATTCTCTCCCTCTATGGTTTGTTTCCTCCTGCACAGATCCAAGGGAGCGAGGTTCATAAAGGACGTTCCTAATGTTTCAGAAATTATAAAATTTCCCCAACTCAACTCTTCCAATATCAATTGGGCAGAAGGTGCAATTCAGCCTCTCTACTATAAGTATTGTGGCAGATCAGTTCCTATACTAAGAAGTACTGTAAATTGACCCCTCTAGTAATCAAACCCCGCAAATTAACCCTTCTACTGAGGATGACGTCAAAAACCATCATTTTTCCGTTTGATTCTATTGCACCGTTAACAAACAATGATGTGGCACTGATTTGGACAAAAAATCCCCTTCTTTGCTGACTTAGAGATGACATGGCAACTTTTTCGACATAGCAACTTTTCTAATTTTTTGTGATGTGCCCAATTTAAGTTTCAAAATTATCAAGCTACCCTCTTCTTCCTATTTTTCAATCCATCTTCTCGCTCCTCCTTTAACAGTAGATTAACTCTTTTTAAAAGATTCAAGCTGAATATTTTTTAAAGTATAAACCCAAAAAAATGAAAAAAGACAAAAACCTTTATAAAAATATGAACACTGAAAAACCAGGAACAGACAGCCCAAAATCAGAATCAGAATCAAAATTAAATCCAACTACTTGTAGCTTTGCTCGTACCAAGTCGTCTGCTCCCGTGACCCTGAGTCTCCATCTCAGGTAGCCCAAAACCCACCTAACTTGAAGCTTTATTTTGGATATAAGTACATTAACGTCTATTTTTTCAAAAAAAAAAGAAGCTTTTTAACAACTATACTTAAGTCAAGAAAAAAATTTTCTCATGAGGTGAACTTTTTGGCCGTTGTAGCCATTCCGATGCATCTTGAAAATGTTGAAATAGAAATGCAAGTAAAAATCAATCTCCTTTAATGTGCATTAGTTGTCAAAATGAACTCAGAATGTCTAAATACATGAAAATATTACCAATCAAAATGCTAATAGAGGATTCATATTTCATAACAACCAAGATATATAAATCATTTATAGAAATAAGATTTTAATAACATCTAAAACTTTGAAAGTTATCATTTAGATTGTCAAGTTTTTGAATAAAACCAAGATTACGAGATAGTCAAATCCTCATACTCGTCCTCTTTTTGTAGTTGGTTATTTTTAAAAACAAAAAATCAATTGAATCCTCATAAATGATGAATCAA